AGGACTCTGGAAAGGTGCACTCCAGCATATCGCAAGTGTTCGACACTCAGGCCATCATGCCCCGGGGATCTCCCCCGCTTCATACTCCTTATTGCGTCATTTACCTCACAAACAGAGAAGCTCAATGAGTCTACCCAAGGGTCTACGGTGTCCCGAGCACCGTCCACTGTTTGACCTACTATACTTAGGGGTTCCACCCTGAAGTGAGTCTTAAACATATTAGCAATGTTTTGACTCCCTGTTATGCCTCCCACTTCCACAGGAAGGCCCGCCCGTGCATTCAGTCTATTTGTTTGTTGCCAGAACCTACTAAACTGCTTAGTCTCGTGTGTAGAGGCTAAAATGTCCATTTTTAATTGATCTTCATGGTCCTGGCACCATTTTAGTTTATTTTTGAAAAGCCTACGAGACTCCCGCATATCGTCGTATGTAACTCCACTACTCGGCCTCCCAGCCATAACCCACGACTGAAAACACAGACGAGCTCTCCCGTGTAGTGGCCTTACATGCCTATTCCACCCCGTAATATAACCTTTTTTTATTTCCCCCTTACAATTTTATGACTAACTATTGCCCCTGACTGCAATATGCTTACAATATGAGAGTACATATTATCGATAACTAGTTTATGTTCATCTTTACAACAGGTTTTGCCACAACATTTCGTAAGCTCCATAGGAAAAACTACTTTACTTAGCTTCTCATCACAAGTTTTCGTAAATAGCTTAGTCTGGTCACTATCCCTCTGCCCCCAAAATATCTTATTATTAGAAACTCGAGATGATGGTACCAACTGAGTATGTAAGGGGTTTAAGTTACAAACAATTTCCAAAGGATAGTGATCAGACCACGAGACACTGTTATTTACGGTTATATTCTCAATGTAACCCCTAGCCATCCTAGTTACTAAACAATGGTCAAGCCAACGTGTACATCCGTGAACATCACTAATGTAAGTATACGTCTCCCCATTGTTTGGCAAAAGTTCAAAGTCCGCACAACACCATTTTTGTTCAACACAAAATTGCTGCATTTCATTAAAAAATAATTCACCTGGTTGAGCATTAAAGTCTCCTAATACAACTACCATACTAATACCACTGTCCTCAACAACCGCATTAATCTCGCTCAAACAGTCTGTGAATTCTGGCAAGTTGTCAGTACAGTCAGTAGGCATGTATACCGAGAATATCAACAGATCACATTCACGCAATTTACACTTTATAGCGCAGAGCCTCGCATTATTGCACTTCACAACAGATACCGCCGTAAACGCACTCTTACGCCATAACAGCGCGACGCCCCCCGAAGGGACGGCCGCGTAACATGCCTGCACTCGTATCTACCGCTGACGTCCCTGTGGCTACAAACTCGTCATTAACAGTACTTAGGTAGGCCAAATCATGCGGTAGCAACCAAGTTTCCTGCAGCGCAACCACGTCCGCTGCCACACAAATACTTCTCACACTATCTATTGATCGCTTTAGTGACTTACAGTTAAAGCTAGTTAGCTTTAATTTATAATTATTCTCTCTAATTGACTTCTGATCCATCATTTTTATTATTTTTCCTCGTATCCCGATCTGTAGGTGTTTTCCTACCCTTTCTAAATATTATATATTTTCTGAAGTATATACCTTCCGGCCACAATTCATTATTTGTAAACAAAGACAATTTACTTTTAGGTATACAGAATTTAAATGATGTGTAATCTTTTTCCGCTTTATTATTATTCTTCACTCTCTCCGGCAGTATATGTATATGTGTTTTCTCATATACATATTCGGCAATATCCCGCTCTGTGGCGTCTTTATCGACGTTGTAAATAAACAACGGAATCTGCACCTCCGCAGCCCTGAATTTCCCCAGCGGGTTTATCACAGCTGTTCCTCTCGACCCCTTAAACCTTGACTTTTTACGCTTTTCAACTCGTATCCATTCCCCATCAATTACATCTTGCTTGTTCACGGCGCTTTGTATATCTGCATTCACTACATTGCACGACGTCATCACACCAGCTGACTCAGACGAGACAAGCGCTCGAGTCGCCATCTCCGACCTTAATACGGGAGCGACAGAGACAGCTTTATGATCTTCCGCCTCCGTATCGCTCACGCATGACAAGGATAGGTGCGCGGGCGCCTCAAATGCATTTGCCTCGTGTGCATTCGAAACCGCAGTTACTTGACGAGGGGCCTCCACGTACTCTTGATGTGCCACTTGTTGCACGTGTGTGAATAGGACAGACTTATCTGTCTCCACCGCGCAAGCGCTCGCGTCCGACAAAGACAGGTGATCACCTATCTGTTTTTGCACTGTCATTGTCGACGTATAATTATCGTTACGGACGGTCATTAAGCCCATCGGCCCGCTGTCACAGTCGGGGCTATCTTGTAAGCAAGAACCGCCTCTCTTGCTATTGACATTAGGGTGACTTATGAGTTGCCCTCGTGTATTCTTATGATACTTATCAAATTCAAATTTTAAATCATCTTTTTTAACGTACGTGTCTTGAAATACTGCACATTTCTCACTTATGGCACTGATCTCCCTCTGCATAACTAGCATATCCTTTAGTAAACGCGTCGCGTCTATGTGGTCAAATGTGACCGGTGGCAATTTTTGGATGTCTCGTGCCACAAACGTTGGAAATATCTCAGGATCTGCCCCTTTCAACAACCCAATGATGTCTTCTATGGTTTTGTTTTTACCGGCATCGCCCCTTCGTTTGATTTCCTTTTGTTGTACTGACTCGAACAACAAGCTTCTAGCCTCAGCGATGTCCTCCTCAGAAAATGATTGCCTGCATAACAACGCTAGGCTCACATTATTCATAACATCAAGTTTATTTTGCACAAAACATAACACTTCATTAATAATAATGTTACAACTATTACATTTAATTCTCGTCATTGTCTATCGCTTGAGGTCATCGACGTGCAACCGATCGCGCGCGCTGTCAGCTGACGAGTGATATAAAAATAACGACATAGGTAGTAATGGGGTAATAGACTAATTAAATAATGTAACAACGTAGCACCGGCAAAATTATGAATTTGAAATGAAAGTTACCTACGCTTTAACTTCAAATGGGATCAAGATTAAAATATAAAATAAGAATATAAGTACAATGGTAGGTATATTATTGATATTGTGTTGTTCGTGTACATAGAATTTTTGTAAGTATTATGACAGTTGTGTCGCGTTGAAGGTGCGATAGATGGCGTTGTACGCTAGTTCCTGTATTGCTAAAACGCGATGTTGTGATTATTTCGGAGTAAATAAGAGACCTGAGACGCGCATTGTACGGCATCGCTTCTCGGCCTTTTGGCTAAGATCAAAGTGTAGTATCTGTTCTTTTCAGCTTAATATCTGAAAGTTCCCGCACTGCGGGACCAGTATATTAAACTGATTTTTTGAAAATCGACGGGATGTTCGGGGCTCGCTCCACTCCCGTCACGGGTCGGCCCGGCATTGCAGTGCCGCCGGGATCGGCCCACATATTATAAAGAAACATGAAGCCGATTCTAATTGGGTTAAAAAAGGATAATTCAGGAAACTATAAAAACAGTATGTCCAGTCAAGTCGTCGTTTGCTCTATTCTACTATCTTTGAGTTCACAGTTTGAGTTCTCTCTTGTCGAAATGTACATCACCACCACCGCCACCTTACTTGTAATGAAATTACTATTGACTATGAGGTTAAGGTATCGTAATCGGATGTCAGCGTCATTGTTATGATGTAATGTAAATCAATTAGGGCTAATAATCTTCTAGATTGTCACTCACCAGGTGTCGCTAGTTTTTTGTTTACACAATGTTATTTAATTGAGAAGTTAGTTTTAAATAAAATTTCTAGAGTATTATATTATTACACTAAACAGAGCCCCAGTGGTTTGCTCTTTAATTTTTTTGAAATTTTTTAACTTCTTTCTTTTTTTTATAAATATACTATCTGTGGTTTGATTAATTTATTTTCCATCTAATTAATATAAAACATAACCAAATATTACAGAAAGAAACATAAATATTCACATTTTTCGAACATATTAACTTCCCCGCTATGTAATCTGTCAAATATTTACCCCTCACTTTTAAGCGGCGCCACCCTGGTGGCAGATAAAGTTGTGGCAAACAGTGTAGAGAAAAGACCATCGACATTCACATCGATTCGTAACAACTAGGTGTATTCTATTACCCCTATTATCAGAACCCTGTAACTGTAATTTCATAAAATTATGACAACACAACAGTCGACAATGATTAAATTTGAAATTCCAGTATAGATTCAGTTTTTTATTAGTACTTAAACTTATCGAAACTAAAAATCCAAATAAATGAATCCACTTTTATATCGCTAAAAGAGCAAATCATCATCACAATGCAATTTGAAAAAGTAAAACAATATTCGCATTATTTTGCCGCTACCTATGGTAGGTATCACTATTTTTTTAAAATCTAACTTATGCCAAGGTCGCGTTAGTTTTTAGGCCTATTTCTGTTATATTCGTATATATTTATTATTAATATTGTCTATAAGCATATGTCAGCTGTAACACTGGGAAGTAAAAGTTTCCCTCGGGCATTCCCTTATTGTCGATCCACGCTCTTATTATCGATAACCGATATAATATAATGTGGTCAAACGATATGCTGGTAAACGTTTAAAAAAATGTAGTTTCGTCGTTTGCTTCTGGAACATGAATTATTTCGTTTAAAATGCTGTAGTAATAAATAGGTAGGTGTCACATGCAGTTGCTTAAAATACCAACTATTATTTATTCTGTGAAAATATATAAATGCAGGAAAATGTATATCTATATATTATATATATACAGCGGCATTGAACAGACGCGCGAGCTGTAGATCGAATGAGTGAGGCTGCCCATATTCAAAGAAAATATCGGAAAAATCGCAAAAAAAACCGTGCAACAAGTGCTCAACGGGCCTGCTAGGTACTGCGAAATTTCAAAATCATCTATTGAGCAATACTTTACAGAAATGACCGCTTCGCGAAACGGAGATCAAGTGTGGCCTGATGTATTCAATCAGGATGATCCCACGAGTCAAAGCGAATCGGAATTGATTAAAGTCTTCGAAAGGAAGGAAGTAATAAGAAAATTAAAATCTAAATCTAATACCTCACCCGGACCGGATGGATTAACATATGGTGATCTTAGAAAGGCGGACCCAGGAGCCTTTGTATTGACAGCATTGTTCAATGCAGTGTGGCGGCTCGAAGTAGTGCCTGGTTGCTGGAAGGACTCCAATACTATACTACTACACAAGAAAGGACCGGAGAGTGACATATCCAATTGGCGACCTATTGCGATGGGAGATACGTGCCCGAAACTCTTTGCCGCTATAGTTGCGGACAGAGTCAAGACCTGGGCAATCGCCAACAGAAGATACAGCACATCACAAAAGGGATTTCTTCCGTACGAGGGATGCTATGAACACAACTTTGTTCTTCAGGAGACCATCCAACAAGCCAGGCGCGATAAAGGAGAGGTGGTTGTCGCCTGGCTGGACTTAGCTATCCATAGGGCTCTTGAACATCACGGAATGCCAGTAAAAGTAAGAAAACTAATCAATTCGCTCTACAAAAACACGATTACTAAAGTTCGTACCTCGGAGGGATTCACTGATCCAATCAAGCTACAGTCCGGCGTAAAACAGGGTTGCCCACTTAGTCCGCATATATTTAATCTCACCCTGGAGGTGGTTATACCCGCGCCATGGAATCGACAGGTGAGGGTATTAAAATAAGAAATAAGCGTGTTACAACTCTGGCCTATGCCGATGACATCGCAATCCTTGCGGACTCCCCAGAAGGAATGAGACGTCTCCTCAATGCAGCTGAGGAGGGCGCTCGGTCGGTTGGTCTCGTCTTTAATCCCGCCAAATGCGCGACACTGCATATGAAGTGTGATTGTGAGAGCGCAGTACAAGACACGGTTGTCAACATCCCGGGAGATGCTATGAAATCAATGGGCCCGAACGATTGCAATTAACATCTCGGAATACCAACGGGCTTTGACATAAGAAAGACTCCAACGAGCGCATTGAAAAGACTAATCGCGGATGTCAAGAAAATTGACCAATCTCTCCTGGCACCATGGCAGAAATTGGACGCGGTCGGCACCTTTATCCTGCCTCGTTTGTATTTCATCACGCAAGGGGCTGACGTTGAAAAGGAGTACATGAGGGAAATAGATAGGAACGTTAAAAATTTTGCCAAAAGATGGTTAATTCTTCCTCAGAGAGCCAGCTCAGAATTAGTTTTTCTGCCACCTTCTATGGGAGGTGGAGGTTTAATGCCATTAAGCGACCTGCTCGACTTATACACCGTAACGCATGCTTTTAAAATGTTATGTGCTACGGATGATCTAGTGAGTGTACTAGCGAGGGAGGGATTGTTGGAAACTGTGTCGGAGAGACTTCGAAAAGTGCCTAGTAACATCGATATGGCTCGTTATCTCTCTGGTGATTTGGACCTGCCCCGATCCTCGTCGCGTTCATCGTTTTGGACCAAAGCGCGAAGTGCGGCACGAAGAATTCAAAATAAATTTAGTATCAAATGGATATGGCACCGTGAGGAAGAGGAATTTCTAATTCTGTGCGGGAATGGCGCTGCAGGAAGGATTACGCCGTCATTAAGACACCATTTATTTAAAAGAATGCGTTTACAGCTGGTTCAATACTATGCCAGTAAGCTCCAGGCCAAAAAGGACCAGGGAAAGGTGTTTGAGGTGACTCGCAAAACTGGTTTCTCAAACCATTTTCTCAGAAGTGGAGGAATAGTCGCTTCTGTGACTGGAGATTTGTTCACCGTGCGCGGCTTGGTGTCTTGCCACTGAATGCCACAAAAAGATGGCAAGTAGATATCGACAAAAGATGTAGAAGATGTGGTCGGGAGGCAGGAGACCATCCCGCATGTGGGGTACACATCCATTGTGGGGTACACTCTGCAGCGCGACAGCTAAGGCACAATAATATTCAAAGCAGACTCGTTAAAGCACTGAGATGCCCGGGACTAGTCAGTACTAACCAAACTGTTGAGGGAACACATGGAACAGCAGCGTTACTGAGACCTGATATTGTGGTTAGAGATGAGATTAATAAAGAAATTAAAATTGTAGATGTGACTGTTCCGTTCGAAAACAGATCGGCTACGTTCAGGGCAGCAAGAATAGAAAAGATCACAAAGTATAATTGCTTAGCAGAACAACTTAGGGCACGAGGATATCGGGTAAGAGTGAACGCGTTTGTAGTGGGTTCATTGGGTGGATGGGATGAAAACAACCAAAGAGTTTTGGATCTCTTTAACATTGGTCGCTTTTACGCTGGCATGATGAGAAGGTTTATGATAAGTGATACAATTAGATGGTCTCGGGACATATATGTGGAGCACCTAAGTGGGATACGACAGTACACAGTGCAGCATGACTTGGATCGATCGATCAATGTTAGGTCGTAACGTAATGTCGTTAAGATATAATCTTATGTTCCTATAGGTTAAACTACTTTTATGTTCGTTTTGACTGAGCCTTTTGTTGACTTATTTTTTTTTTGTTTTTGTTTTGTTGACTTTTTATGACTATCATTTTAAAATTTCTAACATATTATTTTATTATTATTAATTCAATGATTACTCGTATTTATTAATTGATGCTTTATTATGAATTCATTAATTTACTCACAAATTTATTAATTTATGGTTTATTTGATTTATTTATCAATTGGATGATATAATTAATTTTTTTCCTTCTTTATAGTCCAACCTTGATTCCATCAATTAAATTATTTATTAATTCATAATTAAGGACAAACATGATTATATGACTAAGACCTGTTGTTCATTAAAGTAAACAAAATTTAAATACAATATAAATACGAGCAAAATTACGGGATTATATCCGTTTTGATACCCTCCATTGGTGGGCAGTATTTTAGATAAAAAATCTGTTCTTTTCAGCTTAATATCTGAAAGTTCCCGCACTGCGGGACCAGTATATTAAACTGATTTTTGAAAATCGACGGGATGTTCGGGGCTCGCTCCACTCCCGTCACGGGTCGGCCCGGCATTGCAGTGCCGCCGGGATCGGCCCACATATAAAGAACCATGAAGCCGATCCTAATTGGGTTAGAAAAGGACAATAGTAGTACTTAATCAGGAAACTATAAAAACTGAGTATGTCCAGTCAAGTCGTCGTTTGCTCTATTCTACTATCTTTGAGTTCACAGTTTGAGTTCTCTCTTGTCGAAATGTACACCACCACCACCGCCACCTTACTTGTAATGAAATTACTATTGACTATGAGGTAGACGTGGGCGTTATTTCACGTCACTAGATACAGTAACTGGCTACGCGACATGTAACCGAATCACTAGTTTCGAGTCATGTTACAAGTAGTAATTTTTGTAAATGCGTGATTATGATTACTGTCGGGAGTCGACTGTCGGTCGGTCGAGCGCAAAGCGCACATGTAGCATACAACAATAAACAAAACATCGTAAGTAACAGTATTATTGTACGTTTAAATTTCATACGTAAGACTTTAGACATAGACAATAAAATAGAGTAATCTCTGTTTGTAAATAATTTCAACGGTTTGCGATTCCGGGAAGTGAGTCACATTGAATTCAACTAAAATAATTTTTAAAACATTTTTGACGGAGTCATGAACTTACGTTTATTCATAAAATTAAAAAATGTGTATGAAAAATTTAAATGTTTATAATATTATAAAACTTAAAAACTGTGTGTAAATAGCCAAACAAACAAACAAATTAATTGTACAGTGCAAAAAAGTGTAAAACAAATGATAGTGAAAACGTTGAAAAAGTGTAAATAAACTGTAAATATCAATAATCATTGTATATACAACTAAACTGACTTGTAAATATGCCTGCATTAATAATTTTATGAAAATTTCAGTATCATAGTAAACGCAAATCAATCATAAATACATTTAATGCAGTCAGACCTAAACCTGAATAAAGTATGGAGGGAAGTTAATTTATTCGTTTAACAGTATACAGTTACTGTACAGCTACAAACACAGATTGTGATTAAATTTATTTTCGTTTCGTGTGTAACTGTATAGTTGGTGGTGATATTTATGCAAACAATCACAGTAGCCGAATAAAAATAGCCAGTTACAAAAATCACTAGTTTTGAAACAGGTGACGCCGATCAAGTCACTGGTTTCGTTACGTTTCTTGAAAATGACGTAACGACCCACGTCTAATCTAGACTAAAACTGCAAACAAGCTTTCAAAAAGCTGTAGAAAACTGTAAGTTTCTACTTATAGAACTGTAAATCTACAGTTTTACTTATTTTGTATTTTTTTAATAGCAGTAATCAATAAAACAACATAATAAAGTAATAAAAGTATACTTGTAGTAATAAATCAACTTAAAATCTTAACAACTCGTTTTCAATTTGCACATCCTCTTCATTTTCAGTTTCATTTTTATTCTTGAAATCGTACATATTAAATCACTTTAAATGGTCATTGATAGCATTAAACTCGAAACAATTTTTAATTTCTGATTTTGTATGTAAAGTGCCTTTTTTTGTGGTGGTAGACAGTTTATTCCTAAGTTTGGTTTTCATAAGATTTATACTTGAAAACAAACGTTCAACCGTTGCTGTACTGTGCGGTAGACACAAAAACTTTTTAGTCAATTTTGATAGCAGGGGAAATCTTGCAGATCCATCGCCCTTCTTCAATTTGGAGACATGGTACCAAAATTCTTCTACATTTAGCGTCGTTCAAATTCAAGTTGGTGTTGCGAAGAGTTCTCCATTCTCTATCGAATTCTGTTACGTCTTCCGGGCAAATATTTGGAAAATAATACAAGATTTCAGAAATTGAAGTTATTTGTTTCTTGCTAAAATCGTGATTTAAAATTGTTTGTGGGTTCAACATCTGTAAACATTTCAGAGCTTGATGTTCTTTGTCATCAAATGGGAATCTTTGTTTGATTTGTACTATTGCTTCAACATGTGTCTTTACATTTTGTGTAAAAATTTTGAATTGGTCGTCGTCCAACTTTCGAGTTTCCTTTTTCAATTGGATTAAATTATACCTAATTTTTTAATTTTTTATTTGAAATATATGTAGGCGGAATGGGGTACCAATACGCCTACATATATATTTCAAATAATGACACATGGGTTTGCACGTCATTTACATCAACACTTAGTACTTTCTTTTCTTTCGCATTCGAAATGTCTTGGGTATTGTTTTTTTCAGCTTCTGTTCATTCTAAATATACCGGCTGTATAAAGCATTCTAAAATTTTTAAATAAGCTGTGTAAATCTGATCATATAATAAGTACAGCTTTGTTTTTCTGCCTGCATTTCTTTATTCAAATCTGTGAATATTGGTAACGCAAATCGAAGAAATTCCAAGTATGACTCGGTTGTCGGTTCCATAGATTTCGTCAAAATTCCTTGAGCAGAAAGAAGACGATCTGTGAAAACAGCTGATTGAAAATACAACTTGATAGCTGGAAGTTGCTCTAACATTCTGTTCACAACGACGTTCAAAGATAGCCATCTGGTTTGGGCTGGGTGCAGTATTTTATGAGGTTTTATATTTGCAAATGCCTGAAAGGTTTTGTAATCCCCAACGCGTTTAGGTGAATTTTGAATGTGATTAAAAATTTCACGGCAAAAATCTTCAAGGCCCCTCGGTAATTTTTGACATGCGTACGATGCGCAAAGTGCAAACGAGTGGCATATGCATTTCATGGTGAAAAGATTGGGTATATCGTTTTTCAAATGAGTAACCATCGAGTTATTTGATCCAAACATTACATTGGCGCCGGACGCAAATTCTAACATATTTTCTTTGTACGGGATTCCTTTCTCGTTAAAATATTCGGTAGTTTTATCATACAAAACTTTAGCTGAACCTTCGGTGATTGGTATCAAAGTCAGAAACTTCTTAATTTGTGTTGACTACCCTAGCTATTAAAGCTAAATGCTAAATTGCCGACTTATCGGTATTCTCATCTACCAATAATGAAAAATATTGACTCCGTACTCGTCTATCCATAGGGCTCTTGAACATCACGGAATGCTAGTAAAAGTAAGAAAACTGTAGCAGCGCTGTCGTCGTCGCCACAAGCGTAAACACACCGAAGCCTAAATCGCGCTATCAACATTCCGAATCATTAACAGTATATATAGAACATCTCCGAACTATCACATGGAGTGTCGGCCGCTCCCCGGGCAGAACACCTTGCCCAGCGGGAGACTCTCCCCTTTTCCTTCCACGACCACAGTGGTGCCCCGACGTGATCTGAACACGCAACCTTCGATCTGTAACAATGTCTACTGGACAGCCGTACCTAGCTATCCATCCAGACAGCAGTGCTTTGGCAACGGTTTCCGCAGTTATATCTACGATAGGTACGACCTCTGGCCATCGTGTAAAGCGATCGACTGCAGTGAGGCAGTATCGAAAAGCCTTGCGATGGAGGCAGAGGCCCCACAAGATCGATGTGGACGTGCTTGAACCTTGCACGCGGTAGGTTATATGTCCCTAAAGGCGCAGATACGTGTCGCGTCACTTTGGCACGTTGGCAAGCCAAGCAGGCACGTGACCACTCTCTGCAGTCCTTCCTAATGCTAGGCCACACAAAACGCTCTGCAACTAGTTTTGCTGTAGCGTTCGCGCCTGGATGGCTCAAAGAATGCAGACTTTCAAAAACTTGCCTGCGCAGCACTTTAGGGACACATGGTCTGGGAGTCGGTGTACTGACATCGCAGTACATGCATGTCCTACTCCCAGGAATGTCATACTTCTCTAAGCGAAGGGACGATCCACCTTTGAGAAGTTCAGCCAGTTCGAGATCTGATGCTTGAGCTTCGGCCAATGTACTGAGATTGACGGGCGCTTGCAGTTCTTCAATTCGAGATAAGGCATCGGCAACAACATTGTCTTTACCAGATATGTGCCTTATGTCGGTCGTGAACTGTGAAATGTAGTCTAGATGTCTATACTGCCTAGGCGAACAGTTGCCTTTCCTCTCGCGGAAAGCAAAACTGATAGGCTTGTGGTCGGTATAGACAATAAAATGTCTCGCCTCTAACATATGCCGAAAATACTTAATGGCCTCATAGATGGCAAGAAGCTCTCTATCGTATGGCGAATATTTTTGCTGCGCAGAACTCATTTTGCGGGAGAAAAACGCAAGCGGTTGCCACGTGCCGTCTTTGTACTGTTGTAATACCGCACCCAAAGCTATATCTGAGGCGTCAGTAACAAGAGCGAGCTTGGAATGTGTGTCAGGGTGAGCTACTAAAGCTGCTTCAGATAGGCTTAGCTTACAATCGTCAAAAGCCTTACTAGCTTCTCCTGTTAAATTTATTGGTTGTGAACCTTTTGTGGCTCCTGCAAGCAATGCATTTAAGGGAGCTTGAATGCGCGCAGCATTAGGCAAAAATCGCCGGTAGAAATTTATCATGCCCAGAAATCTTCTGAGCTGGCGAACGTTTTTGGGCGAAGGAAAATCTTTAATCGCCTGAACTTTCTCCTGGAGAGGCTTAATACCATTGGCGGAAATTTTATAACCCAAAAATGTTACTTCAGACGCACCGAAAACACATTTAGAGGTGTTGATCAACATCCCATACTCCTTCAGTCGGTTAAATATCTGGCGTAAATGCTCCTAGTGCTCCGACTCGCTCCTCGAGAATATTAAAAACTGTAGATCGAATGAGTGAGGCTGCCCATATTCAAAGAAAATATCGGAAAAATCGCAAAAAAAACCGTGCAACAAGTGCTCAACGGGCCTGCTAGGTACTGCGAAATTTCAAAATCATCTATTGAGCAATACTTTACAGAAATGACCGCTCCGCGAAACGGAGATCAAGTGTGGCCTGATGTATTCAATCAGGATGATCCCACGAGTCAAAGCGAATCGGAATTGATTAAAGTCTTCGAAAGGAAGGAAGTAATAAGAAAATTAAAATCTTAATCTAATACCTCACCTGGACCGGATGGATTAACATACGGTGATCTTAGAAAGGCGGACCTGGGAGTCTTTGTATTTACAACACTATTCAATGCAGTGTGGCGGCTCGAAGTAGTGCCTGGTTGCTGGAAGGACTCCAATACTATACTACTACACAAGAAAGGACCGAAGAGTGACATATCCAATTGGCGACCTATTGCGATGGGAGATACGTGCCCGAAACTCTTTGCCGCTATAGTTGCGGACAGAGTCAAGACCTGGGCAGTCGCCAACAGAAGATACAGCACATCACAAAAGGGATTTCTTCCGTACGAGGGATGCTATGAACACAACTTTGTTCTTCAGGAGACCATCCAACAAGCCGTGCGCGATAAAGGAGAGGTGGTTGTCGCCTGGCTGGACTTAGCTATCCATAGGGCTCTTGAACATGACGGAATGCCAGTAAAAGTAAGAAAACTAATCGATTCGCTCTACAAAAACACGATTACTAAAGTTCGTACCTCGGAGGGATTCACTGATCCAATCAAGCTACAGTCCGGAGTAAAACAGGGTTGCCCGCTTAGTCCGCATATATTTAATCTCACCCTGGAGGTGGTTATCCGCGCCATGGAATCGACAGGTGAGGTTATTAAAATAAGAAATAAGCGTGTTACAACTCTGGCCTATGCCGATGACATCGCAATCCTTGCGGACTCCCCGGAAGGAATGAGACGTCTCCTCAATGCAGCTGAGGAGGGCGCTCGGTCGGTTGGTCTCGTCTTTAATCCCGCCAAATGCGCGACACTGCATATGAAGTGTGATTGTGAGAGCGCAGTACAAGACACAGTTTTCAACATCCAGGGAGATGCTATGAAATCAATGGGCCCGAACGATTGCAATGAACATCTCGGAATACCAACGGGCTTTGACATAAGACAGACTCCAACGAGCGCATTGAAAAGACTAATCGCGGATGTCAAGAAAATTGACCAATCTCTCCTGGCACCATGGCAGAAATTGGACGCGGTCGGCACCTTTGTCCTGCCTCGTTTGTATTTCATCACGCAAGGGGCTGACGTTGAAAAGGAGTACATGAGGGAAATAGATAGGAACGTTAAAAATTTTGCCAAAAGATGGTTAATTCTTCCTCAGAGAGCCAGCTCAGAATTAGTTTTTCTGCCACCTTCTATGGGAGGTGGAGGTTTAATGCCATTAAGCGACCTGCTCGACTTATACACCGTAACGCATGCTTTTAAAATGTTATGTGCTACGGATGATCTAGTGAGTGTACTAGCGAGGGAGGGATTGTTGGAAACTGTGTCGGAGAGACTTCGAAAAGTGCCTAGTAACATCGATATGGCTCGTTATCTCTCTGGTGATTTGGACCTGCCCCGATCCTCGTCGCGTTCATCGTTTTGGACCAAAGCGCGAAGTGCGGCACGAAGAATTCAAAATAAATTTAGTATCAAATGGATATGGCACCATGAGGAAGAGGAATTTCTAATTCAGTGCGGGATCATGCGCTGCAGGAAGGATTACGCCGTCATTAAGACACCATTTATTTAAAAAAATGCGTTTACAGCTGGTTCAATACTATGCTAGTAAGCCAAATGCCAAAAAGGACCAGGTGTTTGAGGTGACTCGCAAAACTGGTTTCTCAAACCATTTTCTCAGAAGTGGATAGACGCTTCTATGACTGGAGATTTGTTCACCGTGCACGGCTTGGTGTCTTGCCACTGAATGCCGCAGCACGTAGATGTCGACAAAAGATGTAGAAGATGTGGTCGGGTGCAGGAGACCATCCCGCATGTATTGAACCATTGTGGGGTACACTCTGCAGCGCGACAGCTAAGGCACAATAATATTCAAAGCAGACTCGTTAAAGCACTGAGATGCCCGGGACTAGTCAGTACTAATCAAACTGTTGAGGGAACACATGGAACAGCAGCGTTGCTGAGACCTGATATTGTAGTTAGAGATGAGATTAATAAAGAAATTAAAATTGTAGATGTGACTGTTCCGTTCGAAAACAGATCGGCTACGTTCAGGGCAGCAAGAATAGAAAAGATCACAAAGTATAATTGCTTAGCAGAACAACTTAGGGCACGAGGATATCGGGTAAGAGTGAACGCGTTTGTAGTGGGTTCATTGGGTGGATGGAATGAAAACAACCAAAGAGTTTTGGATTTCTTTAACATTGGTCGCTTTTACGCTGGGATGATGAGAAGGTTTATGATAAGTGACACAATTAGATGGTCTCGGGACATATATGTGGAGCACGTAAGTGGGATACGAAAGTACACAGTGCAGCATGACTTGGATCGATCGATCAATGTTAGGGCGTAACGTAATTTCGTTAAAATATAATCTTATGTTCCTATAGGTCAAACTACTTTTATGTTCGTTTTGACTGAGCCTTTTGTTGACTTTTTTTATCACTATCGTTTTAAAATTTCTATCATATTATTCATTATTAATTCAATAATTATTTATTAATTGATGCTTTATTATGAACTCATTAATTTACTCACTAATTTATATAATATGGTTTAATTGATTTATTTGTTAATTGGATGATTGGAGAAGGGGAAAAAATTAATATTTTTTCCCTTCTCTAAGTCCTCTCTTGATACCATCGATTTAATTTATTTATTCTTAATTAAGGACAAACATGATTATATGACTAGTGGCTGTTGTTCATTTAAAGTAAACAAAATTTAAATACAAATTTAAATACAATATAAATACGAGAAAACATTACAGGATTCTATCCGCTTTGACACCTTCCATTGGTGGACAGTATTTTCAATATAAAATCTATTCTTTTCAGCTTAATATCTGTATTTTGAAAGTTCCCGCACTGCGGGACCAGTATATTAAACTGATTTTTGAAAATCGACGGGATGTTCGGGGCTCGCTCCACTCCCGTCACTGGTCGGCCCAGCATTGCTGTGCCGCCGGGATCGGCCCACATATAAGAATCATGAAACCAAACCTAATTAGGTTCAAAAAGGTCAATAGTAGTACTTAATCAGAAAAATTATAAAAACTGAGTGTGTCCCTTCAAGTCGTCGTTTGCTCTATTTTATTAGCTTTGAGTTTTCTCTTGTCGAAGAGCCCTACGAATAGACGAGTAAGTACTTAACTTAATCCATTCGCTCTGCAAAGACACGAGAACTAAAGTTCGTACCTCGGAGGGATTCATAGACCCAATCAAGCTGCACTGCAGTCCGGAGTAAAACAAGGTTACTCGCTTAGTCCGTATATATTTAACCTCACCCTGGAGGTGGATATCCGCGCCACGCAACCGACAGGTGAGGGCTTCAAAATAAGGAATAGGCGTAATGCAACTCTAGCTTATACCGGTTACATCGTAATCCTTGCGGACTCATCAGAAGGAATGAGACGTCTCTTTAACACAGCTGAGGAGGGCACTCGGTCGGTTGGTCTCGTATATAATCCCACCAAATGAGCGACACATGAAAATTGATTGTGAGAGCGCAGTACACGACACAGTTTTTTACATCCAGGGAGAACCTATGAAATTAATGGGCCCGAACGATTACTACGAATATCTCGGAATACCAACGGGCTTTAACATTAGACTGACTCCAACGACCGCATTGAAGAAACTACTCGCGGATGTCAAGAAAATTGACCAATCTCTCCTAGCACCGTGGTGGGAATTGGACGTAATCGGCAACTTTATCCCGCCTCGCTTATAATTCATTATGCAAGGGGATGACGTCGAACAGGAGTATCTGAGGGAAATAGATAGAAATGTTAAAAAATTTACAAAAAAATTGTAAAATCTTCCTCAGAGGCAGTTCAGCGTTAGTGTTTCTGCCTTCTATGAGAGTGGTTTAATACCATTCAGCAACCTGTTCGACTTGTACACCTTCACGCACGCTTTTAAAATGTTATGTGCTACGGAAGATCTAGTGAGTGGACTAGCTAGGGAGGGATTGAAGGAGACTGTATCGGAGAGACTTCTAAAAGTAACTAGTAACATCGATATGGCTCGTTATCTCTCTGTTGATTTGGACCTGCCGCGATCCACATCACACTTATCGTTTTGGACCAAAGAGCGAAATGTGGCACGAAGAATGGAAAGTATAATTAGCATCAGATGGATATTGCATCGTGGGTAAGAGGAATTTCTAATTCTGTGCGGGAACGGCGCTGCAGGAATGATTACTCCGTCATTAAGACTAAATTTATTTAAAAAATGCGTTTACAGCCAGTTTAAAATTTTGCCAGTAAGCTCCAGACCAAAAAGGATGATGCAAATAAGGAGCTGCTTTGTCATTCATGCAGTAGACGCGTTTGATATGTAGGAGCTCTCTCACGGCACGGCTCTCATTGTAAAGTAGAACAATTATATGGGCATTGCAAAGTGCATCATACCGAAAAAGGAATTTATTATAGATGCTGGAGATGTGGATACATGGCGCCAGAGGAAAAGCGTTACTCCCGAAAAATAGTTTCACAGTACTGCAGTGAATGTGACCCTGATCACGGGGTGAGCCCAAGGAGGATGGAGCGATGGCGTAGTAATAGGATACGAAGAGACTTGGGCCTGACTAATAACTCACCACCTGAATGCTCATCACCCCATCAACCATTATCACCTCCTCGAGTTGTTAATTCAGGGACACCGATGCGATCTACAGACAACTTGAAACTACGATATTTTCTCTAATCACTGATATAGATTCTGCAAATTCTGGGGAAACTAATCAAAATACAACGATTCACAGACATGCAGTGTCTAGGAATGATGTGACACCTGAGAGGGTTTTCCTAGTATCAGAGCAGTCTCGGCATTGGAAGAGCCTGCTGCTTATGGGAAGATCAGGTTCAATGTTGAATATCTCTAGTGTCGAATCGAAAATCGAATTCGCGGGTTCAGAGAAACGTGGAGCATCAAACAACAGCCTAATATATACAGACTCCTCTCGCAGGCCTCAAAAATCGTCGTTGTCCCACAGCAGAACAAAGTCAGTATATGGAAGAGATTGACTCGGTGAGCAGCCCCGAAGAATTAGAAGACATTACCCGTAGTACCATGTCATTCTAAGGTAGGCACCTGCATACGGGACACGACAGTGGACGGCGATTACAGCAATATCTAACTGACAGCAGACAACCCGTGCGAGCTCTAGATCGAATAAGTGAGGCCGCCCATATTCAGGAAAAATATCGTAAAAATAGGAAAAGAATCATGCAACAATTTCTCTATGGGCCTGCTATGTACTGCAAAATTTCCAAATTGTCTATTGAGAAACACTTCACAGAAATAGCCGCTCCTCGAAAGGGAGTTCAAGTGTGGCCCGATGTCTTCAATCATGATGATCCCACGAGTCTCAGCGAGTTGAAATTACTTAAAGTTGTCCAAAGAAAATCAAAATCTAGTACCTCCCCCCGACCGGACGGATTGACATACGGTGACCTTAGAATGGCGGATCCGGGAGCATTTGTATTGACAGCACTATTCAATGCAGTGTGGCGGTTCCAAGTAGTTGTTGGAAGGACTCCAATACTTTAATACTACACATGAAAGGATCGGATAGTGATATATTAAATTGGCGACTTATTGTGATTGGGGATATGTGACCAATACTCAATAACTTTATTGCATTCCATAGGTTACAAAAGGTGTTACATAGTTATGGTATCTCTATAGACCCTCATGGGCACAGCAATATTATGAAGGAGGAACATTTATTTTGTTTTATTATTATTATTGCTAAATAATTATTTAATATTCACATTCATTATATTGTATGAACATACACACATTGAATATAGAATACGGCTATTATAATTGTTATTATTTATTAATTGATTTTGACATTTAATATATATACTATAGTAACACTTGTTTATAAGTAGTTGCTTTAATTTTTTTTCAAATGGTTTTTCGTTCTTAATGTTTTTTATATATTCGGGTAATTTATTATAAACTTTTATAGACATGGCAAATGGGCTGGATGAATGAGATTTTAGTTTTGAAGTTGGTAGCACTAGTTTGTTTCTCTGTCTTAGATTCCTAGATATGATGTCATCGCGTTTTGTGTACAAGCTTGGATGTTTTTGGACAAATTTGCATAGTTCCAAAATATAGATACAGGGCAGACTTAAAATGTTATACTTCTTAAAGTAAGGCTTACAGCTTTCTGTGTTTTGTAGATTAGCAATGATCCGTATTAGTTTTTTTTGTTTAGTTAATAAACTTGGGGCCTCAGTACTGCATCCCCATAGGACAATGCCGTAGCTAAGCCATGCATATGCATACGCGTAGTAGGTTGTTATCGCGGTGGTTACATCTGTTGTTTTTTTTACTTCTCGTAACGCGTACATAAAGCTGCTTAACTTTTTTATGTAATTTTTCTATATGTGGTTTCCAAGTAATATGGGTATCTATTATTAGGCCTAGTAGGTTGTGCTCGTTAACTGTATCTATAGTGAAGTCGTCATTATCTATTTTTATATCTAATTTTAGTTTTTGATATGGGTGAAAAGACATTATTTTAGTTTTCGATAAGTTTATCTGCAGGTTATGTTTAGTTAGCCAGTCCGTTGTTCTAAATAGAGATGTGCCCCTCACTCATGAGGTGCCTCGTTTGAGGTACTCGTGATCGCAAATTGACAGAGTTACTCGATTTTCAACATTGAACCACCTCACTCGTTCACGCGTCCTCACTTAAAAATTGACATAGACATTATTGACGCGACTACTCACGACTCACGAGCATCGCGACTGAGTGATTGAGTGAGCTTAGTGAGCGAATGAACCGACTTAGAAATCCATATTTACAGTACAGAATAAATTAGAGAATGAGTGAGGTGAGGAATCGAAATTTTGAAAACAGTAAACATTATGATTGTGTTATGTACTTAATTAAATAATGTGTGTGTGTGTGTGTGTGTATGTGTGATACCGATGTTTGGTAGGATACTAGGATATTATTTAAATTAAGAAGAGATACAAAAAATTGTGTGAAATGAGTTGCAGGGTAAATAAAACACACGAAGCAAATAAAAAAAACTGAGTGTATTAATTGATTTTTGAGATCAAAGGATAAAAAGTAAAAAAAAACAATCGTTTGGAATAAACGCGTTTTTCACAATCACAACAATATCAACAATTACTTCACCACACGTGGTCAACGTAGGTAAAGTAACATTATTAGGTACTCAAAACGAATTAATAGAGAAAATATTTTTATTTCTGCTATTAATATGAATCTCTAAACGTTAACTATGAACTCTAAAAACATAAGCATTAGATTGTTATTCAAGTGTCATTAATTCGTTTATTTTGGCGGTCTAAAATTTATGAGCGAAAGAAAGTTACGTGTGTGAGGGAGACGTAAAAATCGGAATCGTGAGTACTCGTGACTCGTGAGTCGACGCGCCCGTCCGCGCCGCTTGCCGCTGCCTCGGACAATCGGCTGAGTTCGGCTCGAGCTCGGGCTCGGCTCGTGAGGTGAATTGAATACGCTGACGTACGATACCTCGCCTCAAATGAGGGGTCCCTCGTGAGGACCTCGCGAGGTAAAATGAGGTGCTCCCTCAACCTCATATAAAAATGATGAGTTACCCATCACTAGTTCTAAATAAAATATTTTTAATTTTTTCTGTTACATTCATTGGACTTTGGCTTGATATAAGAATAGAAATATCGTCCGCAAACATGACACAGTATTCCTTGAGAGCCTCTGCAAAGTCATTAATGTAAATTAAAAACATAAGAAACCCCAGCACACTGCCTTGAGGTATTGAGGCATTAATAGTTTTAGTATCGGATCTAATTTTTTCAATTTTGTGCAATTTGTCATTAAAGTACTCAATTTCTACTATTTGCGTTCTATTGTGTAAATATGATTTTAGCAGATTGTAGCACGGGCCTCTGATTCCTATGTCATATAATTTATTTAGTAATATATTATATTGCACTGTATCGTATGCTTTTGACATATCCAATAGGATTCCTATAGCATATTTTTTATATTTTGTATTTTTTGAATGTAATTATAAATTGCTAGAACTGTTGATTTGTTTTTTGCGGAAACCGTTTTGACTGTCATTAAATATATTATATTTTTCACAGAATTTATAGATACGGTCGTATAATGCTTTTTCAAATATTTTAGAGGCTGTGGGCAATAAGGCGATAGGTCGATAGTTGCCTGGGTCCGTTTGTGTACCTTTTTTGTAGATGGGTTTTACTAGTGAAAGTTTTAGTATATCTGGGAATACGCCTTCTTCAAAAGATTGGTTTACTAATAATGTTAGTGGATATACTAAAGCGCTTGCACATTGTTTGAACAATGTTGGGGGAATCTCATCAACACCATGGCTTAGTTTATTTTTTAGACTATTTAATATTTTAAGTATTTCTTCAAATCCTACTCTGCCTATAAATATTGAGTTTTCTGATGGATGTAGAACAGGAAGACCCTTTGTTTGTGGATGAACTGTTTCACCGATATTGGAGAAGTAATTATTAAATTTATCGGCGATCTGTTTTGGGTTAGAAGAAATTTGGTTGTTGATATTTAATTTAATATTCGATTTTACCTTTAAGTTTATTTTGTTTGTGCGTTCTCGAACAATATGCCACATTGTTTTTATTTTATTGTTAGACTGCTTTATCTTGTTTATATAGTGCAATTTTTTTGACGTTGTTATAACCCTTTTTAATATTTTTTCGTATTTCTTATAATAATCTGTAATAATTTTATTATTTGACCTTATAACGTGCGATTTAAGTAATCTTTTGTTATAACAAGACTTTTTTATACCAACGGTAAGCCATTGTTTTTTGTAGTTGTTTTTTATTTTTATTACTTTTTTTGGTATACAATTATCTAGAATGTTAATTAAAGTTTGATGAAATATATTATGGTTATAGTTTATGCCTTTATTTTTATTAAGTATATTTTCCCAATTAAGCGACTCTAATGCAAGTTTAAAATTTGCTATATTGTTTTTGTTGTATTGTCTTTTTTCGGTGTACCATATTTTTTGTTTATTTTGTTTAGAAAGATTTAGATGAATTATTGTGGCCCTATGGTCAGACATGCCCAATTCTTGCACAGTTGTTTGTAGGTTTGTATCGCTAAAGTTTAGATAAATTACCAAAACTCTTTGCCGCTACAGTTGCAGACAGATTCAAGACCTGGACAATCGCTAACAGAAGATATAGCACTTCACAAAAGGGATTTCTTCCGTATTAGGGATGCTACGAGCACAACTTTATACTCCAGGAGACCATGAAGCAAGCCAGGCGCGATAAAGGAGAGGTCGTTATCTTCTTCATTATCGTTATCTTCTGGCTGGACTAGGCCAGCGCATTTAACTCTGTCTCTGAAGGTAACAAACTTAATCCATTCGCTCTACAAAGAAACGAGAACCTAAAGTTCGTACCACGGGGGGATTCACAGACCCAATCAAGGTGCACTGCAGTCCGGAGTAAAACAAGGTTACTGCTTAGTCCGTATATATTTAATCTCACCCTGGAGGTGGATATCCGCGCCATGCAACCGACAGGTGAGGGCTTCAAAATAAGGAATAGGCGTATTGCAACTCTGGCTTACATCGGTTACATCGTAATCCTTGCGGACCCACCAGAAAGAATGAAACGTCTCTTTAAGACAGCTGAGGAGGGCGCTCGGTCGGTTTGTCTCGTATTTAATCCCACCAAATGACCGACACTGCACATAAAAATTGATTGTGAGATGCGCTCTCACAATCAATTTTACATGACACAGTTTTTTACATCCAGGGAGAACCTATGAAATTAATGGGCCCGAACCCTTACTATGAACATATCGGAATACCAACGGGCTTTGACATTAGACAGACTCCAACGACCGCATTGAAGAAACTACTTGCGGATGTCAAGAAAATTGACCAATCCCTCCTAGCACCATGATGGGAATTGGACGCAATCGGCAACTTTATCCTGTCTCGCTTATGAATTATAACATCATGCAAGAGAATGACGCCAAAAAGGAGTATCTGAGGGATATCGATAGAAATCTTAAAAAAAATTACCAAAAGATGGTTAAATATTCTTTAGAGAGCCACTTCAGAGTTAGTGTTTTTGCCAGCTTCTATGAGAGTGATTTGATGCCGTTAATCAACCTGCTCGACTTGTACACCTTCACGCACGCTTTTAAAATGTTATGTGATACGGACGATCTAGTGAGTGGACTAGCTAGGGAGGGATTGAAGAAGATTTTGTCGGAAAGACTTCGAAAAGAGCCTAGTAACATCGATATGGCTCGTTATCTCTCTGTTGATTTGGACCTGACGCGATAAACATCACACTCATCGTTTTGGACCAAAGAGCGAAGTGCGGCACGAATAAAATTAGCATCAGATGGATATGGCATCGTGGGTAAGAGAAATTTCGAATTCTGTTCGGGAACGGCGCTGCAGGAATGATTACTCCGTCATTAAGACAAAATTTATTTAAATGAATGCGTTTACAGCTAGTTTAATATTATGCCAGTAAACTCCAGGCCAAAAAGGATGATGCACATGAGTAGCTTTGCTTGAGTAGAGTGCTTTGTCCTTCATGCACTAGACGCAGTAGGTATGTTGAAGCTCGTAAAGTAGAACATTTATATATGCATTGCAAAAATGATCCATACCGAAAAAAGGAATTAATTATAGATGCTGGAATGTGACGACGTACGAGCCCAAGGAGGACGGAGAGACGGCGTAATAATAGGAAACAAAGAGACTTGGGCGTGACTAATAACTATCCACCTGAATGCTTATCACCCCATCAACCATTATCAACTCCTGGATTTGTTGATTCAGGGATACCTATGCGAATCTACAGGCAACCTGAAACTACGATACCTCCTCTAATCACTGACATAGGTTCCGCAAATTTTGGGAAAACTAATCAAAATACGAAGACCCACAGACAAGCAGTGTCTAGGAATGATGTGACATCTGAGAGGGTTTTCCGAGGATCAGAGCAGTCTCAGGCATTGAAAGAGCCTGCTGTTGATAAGCGTCGGCTATCAGGTTCAATGTTAAATATCTCTAGTGTCAATCCGTCGAACTCGCGGGTTCGAAGAAACGTGGAGCATCAAATGACAGCCTAGTAAATACAGACTCCTCTCGCAGGCCTCAAAAATCGTTTTTGTCCCACAGCAGAACAAAGTCAGTATGTGGAAGAGATTGATTGACTCGGTGAGCAGCCCTGAAGAATTGGAAGACGTTACCCGTAGTACCATGTCATTCTTAGCTAGGCTCCCGCATAGGGGACACGACAGTGGACGGCGATTACATCGACATCGAACGGACAGCAGACAACCCGTGCGAGCTCGAAAACAAAAAATTTCTCCACGGGCCTGCTAGGTACTGCGAAATTTCCAAATTGTCTATTGAGCAATACTTCACAGAAATAGCCGCTCCTCGAAAGGGAGTTCAAGTTTGGTCCGATGTTTTCAATCATGATGATCCCACGAGTCTCAGGTCTCAGCGAGTTGAAATTGTTTAACCTTTTGAGTGCCATGCCAAAAACGCATTACCGTGTCCTGTACGCCAAAGCGAAAAGTAAACAACAATACCTACGAAAAAAATAGTGTTGCCAAGAGTTGATGTATAGATAACACAAAATATCTTGATTTTGTTGGTTTTTTATGCAATAAATGACTTTATAATTTGGTATGTTTTATTTAATCTTGTGCTGTCTTCCACTCTTTTTATATATGTACTTTGTTTATAAATAAAAAAAAAACAAACAAACAATGCGTCACTATAAAATAGTAGTAAACCACACACTACTCTTTATTCCTTCCTTTTTGAAACTTTCTTAGAGATGTAGCCGTGTCGCTCGTTGTGTATCGATTTCGAAATCGATCTAACCAAAATATACAGAGATCGTCTCAAAATATTTTATGTGTCGGGGGAGGCGTAGGCCAAGTGAAGCACGAAGAAGAAGAAAAGTCTTACGTTCTTATGACAATGGGGGTTTAATGTGACGCTGATGCTACCAGATGATTTTGAGATTGAGAATGAAAATAGCACAACACAAAATGAAAAATTGCTCTTCATACCTTAAAGACATTTATTATTTGTAATTTTATATTATTAAAATAAAAAAAAATTATCATCATCTACGTTTTCCAAAATGCGAATGACTTCTGAGGAATCGTTCATGTTGCACTGCCACTACCTTTTCAGCTTTTCGTTTATGACGTCATCAGGGTGTCGTCTATCCTTGACCACGGCGCCCAATGAACTGATAATCAATGACGCGCTAAGGATGCGCCAGAGTTGAGATATTAGATTTATTATGCGAAGTTGATTTCATGAAATTTTCTTTGATTTATGTAGCTGATGATAGTTTTATGTTTCTTACAGCGGGAATCATGCGGGAAGTCTGCAGTCTGTGAACATGTTCAAGATAGTCCCCACCATTACATCAGATTTGATAAACCACAAATCCTCGTAAAAGAACACCGATTCATACCAAGGATGATACGCGAGGCTATTGAAATTAAAAAACATCCTAATTTCAATAGAGAAGATGGTTGGGTGCTGCAATCTGCTTGGGATCCTAAATTAAAAAAATTAAACCCAAGCATACCACTGCAAGACTTCAAGATACTGAAGCTCGTTTTGCGTAAATCGGACCAAAAATTAATATTCAAAAACTGAAGGTAGCCGGGCTAACAATGACATTGGGACGTCAAACATCTCAGTCCCCCCCGTGGCCATGGATGCTGTAAAGCACCCGAAACGTCGGGAATTAAAAATAAGTGAAAGTATTTAATTAAACGCGATAGAATCCGTAAACTTAGTTTTATTCAAGGACTCTCACTCAAGAACCCTCTTGTCATTTTCACCGTTAAAGAAAGGTTAAGATTTTTTTTAAATAAAATTTTTTTAAATTATGTATTTTTGAAATAGTTTGCCACTTAGCTCATCATACTATTTTATTCACGAATGGCTTTCAAACTTTGCCAAAATTATTTTTTTATAGAATTTCATACTAAAAATTGAAGTTTTTTTGCAAAAAGTACAAAAGATACTCATAGTCGTTATTGCATTTCTAATTGATTAGTCTGTGAAGAATAAGAGGAAACCAAAAACGCAACGAATTTCATTAATTTGCGGCAGTGGTGTACATGAAAGTATAGTATGATCAATAAAAACTTAGTTTTTTTTAAAAACTCATATTTTTAATGATTTCTTATATTTACGCGAACATTGCACATGATTAAAACTACTTTTACGGATTTTATCGCGTTTATTTTTTACTTTTTATTTTTATTTTTAATTCCCGACGTTTCGGGCGCTTTCCAGCACCCATGGTCACGGGGGACTGAGATGACTGACGTCCCGATGTCATTGTTAAACCCGGAGTACCTTCAGCTTTTTTAATTATTGTTTATGGTCCGATCTATGCAAAATGAACTGACTATGTCCTGAGGTCTTGCAGTGGTATGCTTGGGTTTAGTTTTAATTTTATTGATTATAGGATCCCAAGCAGGTGGTAGTACCCAGCCTCCTTCTCTATTGAAATTAGGATGTTTTTTAATTTCAATAGCCTCACGTATCATCCTTGGTAGGAATCGGTGTTCTTTCGCGAGGATTTGTGGTCTATCAAATCTGATGTAATGGTTGGTTGGTTTTGTGATCATATCCTAGACGGCCCCGAAACGTCGGGAATTAAAAATAAAAATAAAAAGTAAAAAATAAACGCGATAAAATCCGTAAAAGTAGTTTTAATCAACTCATATTTTTGGCACCACATGGAATACATATTTTTTTGTATTTTTATTTGAGTGCCTGATACCTGTACTATAAGGCGCTCCAAGACTATCCATTAACATCCATACAGTTCCTTTGAATATAAGCTGAAATCAGATGTCTATTTTTTTACATGGGGAAATGCTTACGCATACCCGCCTAAAAAAAAAATAAAAAACTAACGCAGACTAAATCCATTCGCTCTACAAAGACACGAGAACTAAAACTACTAGTTACTCGCTTAGTCCGTATATATTTAATCTCACCCTGGAGGTGGATATCCGCGCCATGCAACCGACAGGTGAAGGCTTCAAAATAAGTAATAGTGGTATTGAAACTCTGGCTTACACCGACGACATCGTTATTCTTGCGGACTCACCAGAGGATGTGAGACGACTCTTTAACGCAGCTGAGAAGGGCGCTCAGTCGGTTGGTCTCGTATTTAATCCCACCAAATGCCCGACACTGCACATAAAAATTGATTGTGAGAGCGCAGTACAAAACGCTTTTAACATTCAGGGAGAACCTATGAAATCAATAGGCCCGAACGATTACTATGAAGTCTCGGAATACCCACGGGCCTTGACATTAGGCAGACTCATACGAGCGCAATAAATAATAATTAATAATAATAATTTTTATTGCTGCATAACAATGAATCAACATAAAATATATTAACATACTGTCTAAATATTACATCTTAGATTATGATATATATATATATATATATATATATATATATATATATATATATCTATTATATATATATTAGAACCTCTGACTTCTAAACTAGGCAGGGCCTGTATCATAGAAATCAGCGCTCTTCACAAAATCAGTGTCGGCAAGACAAGTATGGGTTAGCAAAAAGTAAAAAGAAAGTAATAAATGAAAAAATAGTAAACTTGTTAACATAAAAATGAAACAATATAAAAAGGAGGAAAATAAAATCAAAATAAAACCAAACGAAATGTGCATGTGTGTGTGTGTGAGTATATTGATATGTGTATGTGTGTGAGCGCTCGAGTATGTTAGCAACAGTCAAGCTAAGAGGTTTTCAGTTTCTTCATACGTGAGACATTGTAACCAATTTGTTAGTTTATTTGCATTCAAACTTAGTAAGCGGATAAATGTTGATTTTCTTATTTAATTTATTATATAATATTGAGCTTATGATAAAATAGTGTTTTTTGGCATGAGACGTTCTATGAATCTCAGTCTTACACACACGGTCAGATCTGCGTTTGCGTAAAACCTTAGGATCAAAGGGCGTTTCCATGTGTTTTCTTAAAATAACTCGTAAGATATAAAGTTGCCTGACTGATAACATTTAACAATCGGCGCATAACTTCGATGTGTCGTATAAAATCGGTTTAAAATTTATAATTTTTAAAACTGCTCGCTGAGCTCTTTCCAAAGATATTAGAACTGTTTTATTAGCAGCACCCCAAATCGAGATACAATAAATAAGAAGCGATTGACATAGAGCACGGTATACCAAATTTATTATGTGTTTATCAGGTACTTTCCTTAAAGTTTTAAAAATGTATATGAGTTTTCTGCTACGACCAGTAAGTTGTGCAACATGAGCACTCCAATTTAGGTTACTGTCAATGTGCACACCCAACTATTTAATGTTATCTACTCTTTCTATTGATTTACAGGTGCATGCATGTGACCGATTTGTGGAACCGCATGTGTGTATTTTAATTTCATAGGCGTTTAGCACAGGTTGTGTATTTTTTTTAATGAAAAAGTTATAAATTTAGTTTTCTTAATATTTAGTGTGAGGAGATTAGAAGACAGATACTGTGTTACTAGCTTCAAGGCATGCTCAGCGGTTTTTTCAACATCTTCCCAGGAATTGCCGTGGATTATTAAGGTAGTGTCATCTGCATAGGCTAATATTATGCAGTTTGGCAAGGACATCTTACACAGATCATTGATGTAAATTAAAAACAAGGTAGGACCTAATATACTTCCCTGTGGTACACCGTAGCGCAAATAATCGTATCCACTACAAACATTATTTATTTTTACACATGGGCTGTGGTTACTGAGGTAATCTTTAAATATTTCCAGAGCTTGCCTCTTACTCCTATTCTTACCATTTTGTCGAGTAAGACTGGAACTGAGACTGTGTCAAAAGCCTTTGAAAGATCTAGAAAGACCGCTAGGCATTTGGACTTTTTGTCCAGGTTCTTAACAACCGTTCCAGTAAAAGTTATTACAGCATCTTCTGTTGATTTTCCAATACGAAAGCCAAATTGATTATCAGCTATTAAGGTATATTTTTCGAGAAAATTCACAAAACGTGAATTGAGCACTTTTTCTAATATTTAAGAAAAAACTGAAAGCATAGATATTGGTCTGTAATTGCTTACAATATCCCGTTTACCTCCCTTATATACTGGATGAAATAGTGCCCTCTTAGGAAGGTCAGGGAATTTGCCCGAATTTTCAGATTCTCGAAGGTCAGGGAATTTGAATTTGAATTGACAGGTTACATAATATAGGTCATAAGAGGGGTAAAAGTACTTTTACAAGCCCTAATAATCGATGTAGGAATACCATCACAGCCTGTAGCGCTGTCAGAACGAAGTCTATTAATAATTCTGTCAACTTCATCATATTGTACTTCGTGTAAAACTAAAGAAAAAGGAAAGAAAGAGTTTTGTTCTTCTGAAAGGAGATAAGAAAGACTTTTTGCCAATATTAACAAAAAAATTGTTGATATAGTCCACTGATGCAGACTCATCAGAAGATATTTTTATAAGATCACTAGAAGAATTTACATTTTTTTTAATATTACATATATTTTTTACAATTTTCCAAGTTCTTTTTGGATCATTTTTATTTTTAAGTAGCTCGTTTTTTTCATAGGTGCGTTTTAGATTTCTCAAAAGTTCATTACAGAAGTTTCTATATCTTTTATATGTAAGTTTAAGGTAGTCAAATCATTTGGATACTTCTTGGATTTTGCATGCATTCGGTCGCAATTTCTGATACATATAAGTAGTCCTGGCGTGATCCATGTTTTTTTATTTCTAATCCTTCTATGGATTGTATGTAAAATAGAATGAGTCTTAATTATTGACGAAACTCTTTCTATAAGAATTTGAGTGGCCTTATTGACAGTTTTAGATGTTAAAATATCATTTAAATCAGATTTTTATATCAGCTATAATTAAAGTTTTGTTAAGATTTATTCTATTAGTATTGTTGTTTAATTACTTAGGTTTATATTTCAAATTTAATACTATGGGGTTATGATTAGTTATGTAAGAGTTTATTATCATGATAGTGTCGATTAGACTCGTTCTGAGTAATACATGGTCCAGACAAGTGTTTGAATGTGTAGGCAGATTGTGGGATGGAAATAAGCCGAGATTGGCACACACGTTCAAATACTCATTACAGTTATTACAAGATTTAAGTATATCTACATTAATGTCACCAATGACTGCAATATTTTTACATACCGACAGGCCGGAGATAACCATTTGAAAACTATGTAAAAAATTATTACTTAATGTTCGAAAAACAATAGGGTCGGTATATTGCGACAATAGATAGTTCATTACCTAAAGTACACACTGGGCAGTTTGCTTCTTTAAAGGGGGGTTCGTGAATAGTGTAAACAATTCCCGATCTAACATAAACAACAACTCCGTCATTTTGATTATATGCATTTTTCGTTTAATGTGATTCATATCCGACTAGGAAAGGAACACGAGTTGTTTTGCTAAGCCAACACTCCGATAAGACTATAACGTCACATTGTATTATAAGCTGCTCGAGTAATAACTGTAGACCGTCTATGTTACAATTTATACACCGAATATTTAGATGTAATATTGTAAATGAACTTGCGCTATTATGTATGTAATTTTATGCATTCCTCAGGGTTACAATTTAAAGATTTTGAGACCTTGAACCCATCTAAGTCAGAGATCCATTTTTAAAAACAAAGTTTAGTGCACTAAGATAAATTTGTTGTTTGATACAAGATTTATAGGGTAAATATAAATATAATTTAATATTACGAACTAGATTATGAAGTAGTGTTTCAATGTATATTTAACTGCTGCTTTATTTTTTATAAGTGTTTGTGTGTTTGTTAAATGTACTGTACAGTAACAACAGTATAGATTTTTTTTAGTTTAGAGTAATAGAGTAAAATGATTTGGTTTTAACAAAATCAGTTGAATATTGATATTAAATACTAAACAAAGAAAAAAAATCTATATTTATTGATAAACCTAAAAATAATCACATTCAATTTATCAAATCATTTAAACACTTTTCTGTCTTTATGAGTATTTGTTTTGAAGAATCGTCTTTGCGGAGAAATATGCGCGCATTCGTAGACCAATAGTATTTATAATGGTTGTCTTTTGGGAACTGACGTGCCTGGGCGAAATTTTTTCTAGTGGTAAGATTGAGGTATTCAGATACAAAAATTGGTTGTTTTTTACCTTCAATGCCGATGTGCGTTGAATTTAGTTTTTCATCAATTGGGCGTTTTGAGTTGGAAGATCTAGCAGCTTGTAGTACATCATTTTTTAGAAGAACAGAAGTAAATTCAGCTACAATAATACCACTGGAACCAGATTTATTTGGCAGTCGATAAACGTCACGGACGTCGGAAGGATTAATTTCTAAATTAAGGGCAGTGCCGGTATGAGTGACAATAAAAATTAGATCACTGGTGGATTCTTTTCCTTTTTTTGCAGGAATATTACGAAAATCTATGGTAGCTTTTAAGTAAGAACGTTGCAGGGATTCTATATTTTGTTCTAAGTGCTGTATTAAAGCCCGATTTTCAGAGCATTTAATTTCCAAAGCACTAATTTTGCTCATTATTCCATCAAATTGGTGTGATAAATGTTAAACAGATTTCTCAATCTCTGAATTGGAGTTTTTCACTTCCTGTATTTTGCTTTTTATATCTTTTATATCTCTTTGAATACGAGCACGTTCCACTTCATTTGAAGACATCCATGAAGAAATCATATGTTTAAAGTCTTTTAATTCTTCCAAAAAGTCATCGGAGCGATGGCGCTTATTATATCGCATTTGTACGTAGTTAGGGGATGTTTTTTTTTCTGTTTCAGAATCGGGGAGAATGATTGTTGCATATTTAATGACATATATAATAGTCCAATGTGTAATGTAAACTATAATTGAAGGTAACTATTAGCGCACACTAATAAAGGCCCTAACAGCATCGACCACTGTACATTCAAGTCCGCGTGAAGGTCGTAGGCGCCGTGAATATGAGGGCGCTTACGCGTTTTATCGAGACACTTTACATTTATTACTATTGACGGTAATAGAACATTGAACGGATCGGATATTTATTGATTATTATTAATTGCGAATATCACTGACTAATTATTTAAAGTTAATTATTTGATACACACAAAAACTGAAGTAACAGAACAAAAATATACTTTCAAAAGTCACTTTCAACCACTTTTTGTTTATTATTTGTGAAGAGCAAACTCAACGAGATGTGCGTACTTATAAAGCGCGACGACGATTAGCTCATCATACTTTTTTATTCACGAATGGCTCTCAAACTTTTGGCAAAATTATTTTTTTATAGAATTTCA